CCCCCCCCCCCCGCCCCCAGCCCCTGTCCGGTACAGAGGGAGGCTGGGCTGCACAGGCTCCCAAGGGCGGTGTGAGAGTGCACACGTTATTGGCACACTCTACAATAATGAATATCCACTATGAGTATTTAATGCTTCCCTGGGCCACGGAGAGGTGAGGGCAGGCTGGCAGTGTGAGGCTGGGTGCACCTGTGCCAAGCTGGCACCCTCGGGCAGGTCTACACCCTCTCCTCCTGAGCCGCGGAGTTTCCCAGACAGGCCCCGGACTTTCAGCCTGAGCGTGGGGGGCCTGGCTGCCCTCCACCTGCTGTCCCCGCCCTGGGAGCTGAGTGAGGAAAGGGGGAGGGGACTTCACTGTTCACAACGTCAGCTACCACTCAGCGTCCCCAGTGTCAGGTGACAGCTTTGCCCAAAAGATTTGGGAGCAGGGGCTCAAATAAATACCACACACCCGTGTTCACAGAAGCTTGCTCTCCAACCCCACCAACAGATAGTGGATAAACAGTGTGGTCCCCACGGTGGGACGTTATTTGACCGTAAAAGGAAGTTCTGCACACACTACAAGGACAAACCTGGAAGACACCAGGCTGACTGAGACAAGCCGGTCACAGAAGGCCCCATAGGGTGTGATTCCATTTATGCGAAGCATCTAGAAGAGGCAAGCCTACAGACGCAGAAGGCAGAGGAGGGCTGTGGGGCCAGGGGCGAGAGATGGGGAATGACCGATTGATAACAGGTACAGGGTTTCTTTACGGGGTGGTGAAAATGTTTGCCAAACTGTGAATATAAAATAAAGGAACGTTTTCTTGCAATCATCTAGTGAACTCACATTCGGGAAATAGTTCGTAAGTTAAATGTCTGTCATCAGTGGGCTGGCTCAACAAATCATCAGGTCACATCCATACAATTTCCATTTTGTAGAAGGGACAGATGCTAGAAATGTTAAAATATTAAATGAAAAGGCAGCATTTTAAAAATTAGGGACATTGGGGTGCCTGGGTGGCTCAGTCAGTTAAGCGTCTGACTTTGGCTCAGGTCATGATCTCGCGGTCCGTGAATTCGAGCCCCGCATCGGGCTCTGTGCTGACCGCTCAGAGCCTGGAGCCTGTTTCAGATTCTGTGTCTCCCTCTCTCTCTGACCCTCCCCCGTTCATGCTCTCTCTCTGTCTCAAAAATAAATAAACGTTAAAAAAAATTTAAAAATTAGGGACATCATATGTGCATAATGAGAGACGGGGAAACGCAATAAAAGCAAAGCATTAATATCACGTATATTTGGGCGGTGGGACCATGGATAAACTATGCTTTTCCAAAGTGTCTTCTAGGAGCAAGTATTACCTTTGTGATCAGAATGAACGTGATTTCCAGGAGAGAGGAAGCGCCCGTCGGCAGCAGGTGGCACCACAGCCCTGCCTGTGGCGGGAGCTCGTCCCAAGCCGAGACAGAAGCGGCTCGGGGCGCCCCCTGGGGGTCAGCCCTGCAGCCCCAGCCCCGCAGATCCATGCTCCAGAGGGCCTGGACGATGTGGGGCGGCCAGCACACAGAAACCAGGGGAAGGGCCCTGACACCACAGAGAGTTGAGGCCATGAAGGCTCCCTGAGGCTCTGGTTGAGCAGGGTAGGGGGGCCCGTGGAGAGAGAGGGAGAGGGACAAGGACTCCACAAAGACACTGATCCTAGGCAGAAAATCGGCTTCTAGGGGCTCGGGGAACAAAAGACCAGACTGCTGCAGGAAGAATTTGACCCACTAGCCTCCCAATCTGTATCTGCTGAACAAAGAATATGAATCCATTAGATATGGAGGAGAGCCGGAAGTGGGTTCCCTGGGAATAAACGCTTTCTCCACAGTTGTAATGCCACATGGGGCTCAGGAAAAAGGGCAGCCAGCAGGGCCTCCTCACCCTTCTGGTGTCACAACTCCTCTGGGAAGAATGGGGGGGCCCCCCCAAAGATGTGTTCACGTCAAACCTCCAGAACCTGTGACTGGGGCCTTATTTGGAAAAAGGATCTTTGGGGATGTAAGTAAGCATAGGATCTCGAGAGGAGCTCATCCTGGACTGTCCGGGCAGGCTCTGAATCTGATGACAAGGGTCTTTCTAAGAGGAGGGGGGGAGACACCCAGACAGGAGGCTGAGTGTGGACAGAGGACACGGCCATAAGCCCAGGAGCAGCTGGAGCCCCGGGAGCCAGGGCTCCAGGCGAAGGACCCTCCCTGGGGGGAGGGGGGCCTCCCGAGGGAGGGTGGCCCTGGATTTTGGACTCTGGCCTCCAGGACTGTGACAAGGGAGGTCTCTGTCGTCCGAAGCCCCCGATGTGTGGCAGTACGCCCCTGCTGCCCAGGGAAGCCAGTCCGGACACAGCCGGAAACGCGATCCCACCTCCATCGCTCACCTGCTGGGCCCAGAAACTGCTCCCTTAGGCACAGAATGGGCACTAGGATAGCCACCGATGGGCCCAGCGAGGACAAGCCCGATCACGAGCACGTGTGGCCGCGAGAGGTGGGGCCGTTGTGGCGGGGAGGACACAGCCGGCTCCTACTGATAAGGCCTGCTCGCGCTCGCCAAGCCTTCAAAAGAGGCGGTCACATTACACACATAATTATGGCTGGAATCGTTTAAGGGACGCTAAGCTCATAATCAGTGTTTAAACCTCTAGGGAAATTGCTTTGCTGGGAGGCGTGTGTTTGCTACGTTCGTTCCACAGATTTGCAGCGCGCGAGGGGGCGCCGAGGAGTGGAGGGAGTAGGGGCTCCGTGAGGGTCCTGCCTAGCACCTGCTGTCCAGGGCGGCGGTGAGGCAGGGCTGGAAGAGATGCGGAAGGCAGAGGGGCGCGGGGCTGCCTGGCACCTTGAGCTTGCGGGTGACGCTTCTGACGCGAGTGCCCGGGCCCAGGGCAGAGTCTCGCTCCCCCTCAGCATCCCGGGGCCGCCCACAGCCCCACCAGCGGGGAGACGGGGGGGTCCCCAACCATGCTAGGGTGGTGGAGCTGACACACACCTTCCCCACCCACCGGGATGTCCTGGGTGGGTCTGAGTGCACGTGTGTCTACGTACGTGTGAATGCGCGTGACAGCGTGCGTGTGTGAGAACATCAGTGTGTGTGTGTATGCGCGTACGTGGGATGTGTGTGCACACCCAGGACAGTGGCTGCACAGGGGTGCCAGAGGCTGGCCACTCTCCCAAGTACTGGGCAGGGACAGAGGGACAGGAGAGTGACGGGACCAAGGGTCCACTCTGACTGGCAGCAACCTCACCTGACTCCGCAGCAGTTTTCAAACAAACTCCTTTCCAGAAGATGTCACGTTACAGGCTTGTATTACTTAAAAGACGTAACTCGGGGCGCCTGGGTGGCGCAGTCGGTTAAGCGGCCGACTTCGGCCCAGGTCATGATCTCGCGGTCCGTGAGTTCGAGCCCCGCGTCAGGCTCTGTGCTGACCGCTCAGAGCCTGGAGCCTGCTTCGGATTCTGTGTCTCCCTCTCTCTGACCCTCCCCCTTCATGCTTTGTCTCTCTCTGTCTCAAAAATAAATAAACGTTAAAAAAAATTAAAAAAAAAAATAAAAGACATAACTCATTTATTTGCCTGTGACCTGTGCATGGATCCTGTCATGTTTTAATTTTAATGGAAAGATTTTAAAAGCGAGATGCTGGGTGTGTACATGTTGAAGAGAGACCATCATTCAGGAGCCGCCACGGTTCACCAGGTGGGAACCAGCTCACTCCCCACACCCTGGCTGCAGCGCACTGGCACCAGGATGGAGCTCACGCCCCCAGCCGCACCCTCCCCACCGCCCGCTGTGGCCTCCTGAGCGCCGTCAGTTCTGAGGAGGTGAGAGGCTGCCCCGGGCCAGCACCCCAACTCTACACCACCAGAAGGCGCCTGGGCCTCACTGGCCGGGGATGGGGCCGGGACTCAGAGACGAACCCTCCAAGGCCAGGGCAGCCCCTAAGGGGGGGGGGAGGGGCCGTCACCGCCGGTGGGAGTGGATGGGGCTGGAGACGGGGTGACACCAGAGTCCACGCGCGCGGGCTCCTGTGACTACAAAAACAACAGTGGTCGCTGCGTGCCGCACGCGAGTGTGGGTTCACACCGCCATCCCTCACAGGACGTGGAAGGCTCCCTGTGCACCTGTGTCCAGCCTCGTGACTGTGGGCGAATCGCTCCGTCCCCGAACCTCACTGTTCTCTTCCGTAAACGGCAATAGTTAGCAGGGACAGAGATGATGCTTTGAGAGGGGGCCACTCCCGCCTCTGATGAAGGCTCCGTAAGCCGCAGGGCCTCCCAGTAGAAGCCCAGACGCGAGGCAGTGATTTCCGGTGATGTTTGAACAAACACCACAGTACACAGATCCGTGTGCCGTGGGGGTCCCGCGGGCGCTCCGGGCGCCGCCCACCCCTCTGCCCTCCCGCCCCGTGCGGTCTACCCTCGCTGGCTCCCATGGCTGTCGGAGAAGCAGCGGCCTGTTCCCACTCCAGAGTCACAGGACCCCCACGGGACCCTGGGGCCGATCGCTGAGGGACTGTAAAAACTGGCAGTTTGGTCCAAGCAGCAAATGTAAACAATATACTGAAAATTAGCTGATGTCTCCATTTCCTCTGATTAAGGAGCATTACCACTGATGTGCTAAGAGATGAGCAAGCACCTTTACGTCTCTCTTCTTTCCTACTTCAGTGAGTCCATGGACCCCTGCCCTGCCCAGGCTGGTCAGGCATGGCGGGTCCTGCCCTTGGCTCCCATCTGGGAGGCAGAAGCAAGAAATCAGAATCCCATTGATACCTGTGTCAGTTACGGATAGTCACCATACAGCAGGGAGGCTTCCTGGAGGAGGCGGCAGGGCATGAGAAGAGTCTATGAGTCCATGGAGACCCCCAGTCTCCCCATACCTGGGGCCCACAGCACCCTAGGACACCCCCCGACCTCGGGCAGCCCTGCCTGGCCCCTGCTGCCTGCAGAGTTCTGATGTGGTTCTGCTGCTGTGAACTCTGTGGAGACAGGACCTTCTTGGCCCCCCCATCCTCCCACCACCTTTCTGCTGCGGCTGCTCCCCAGGTCCACACTTCCCCAGGGCTCGGTATGTCCCTGTGAGGGGCATTTTCTGCCAGACGCTGGCCTCAGGGCCCACTGCCCTGGAGAGCTGCCAATGGATCTCCGCATCTGAGAAGGGCCTACCTCTCTCCCACTCCAGCCCTGGTCACTGGGCAGGGGTCTCTACCTCCCAGGAAAACCAGCAGAGAGACTGGTAGGTGGCCCAGCTCTGACAGGATCAGGCCCTAGTCTGAGAAGTCAGGTACGGTTGGAATTGGGGTCATGAGGCCCTGAGCTGGGTCCTAGGGCCACAGTAGACCAGCGGCACCTGCCCTTGAGGGGCTCTGGGGTGGTGACAAGGAGGAGGGGACCCCCGAGGGGACCCTGCACATGGCCACTGCCCCAGGGGGAGGCCTGCCATGGGCAAGAGTCCCAGGGCCGGGCTGGGAGTCCCTGGAAATTAGCACAGGCTGAAGGCTTCTGGCATCATCACCTCTGCCATCTGGGCAGAGGAAGGTGATCTCCCGGAGCCTCAGTTTCCTGGTCTGTAAACTGGGAAAACAATGCCACCCGTGCAGGGTCCTCCGAAGAAGGACATCCAGACACATACGGTGGAGGGTGGGGCTGGGGGGTGCGTGTGATTCCCCCCTTTGCTGTGTGGCCCTCGGCCTGTAACACGGGGAGAATGCACAGCTTCCCCAAGGGCAAGGGGGCCGTGAGGCTGGGGCCAGGCTCCCACACTACCACCGTCGAGGAGGTCGGCCGTCCGGAGGCTTAGGCAGGGGATGGACATCAAGCAGGGCCCAGCCCAGAGGCGGCCGAGGGTCTGCCCCACACTGTTTGTGGGCACATCACCCCCCAGCGGAATCCCACTGTGAAGCAGCAGCCCCGAGACCACCCGGGCCGTGTGCCAGGCTCCCAGACGCCCTGCAAATACCACCTGGTCAGCCTGGTGGGTGATGTTCATCCAGAAGGAACACAGGGGCACAACTGTCCCCCTACAACACTGGGGAACAGCCAGGAAGCCTCAGTGAGCCCCTTGTCACCAAAGGATGCTCTGCAGGGCCCCCAAAAGCTTAGGAAGTTCTGGGGACCTGTAACTTCCCCGGACAGGGAGGACAGACAGCAGATGTCCTGCCCAGTGCCCACGGTCCTTGCTGAGCCATCCCTGCCTGATAACAGACAGATGGGGTGGCCAGCAGGGCCCGTCAGAGTTCTTCCCCAGACACAGGCCACAGGAAGACCACACAGGCCGCTCCCCCTGGAGCCCAGAGGGAAAGCCTGGTGGCTCTCAGGTCCATCTTGCCTCGAGTGACCCCAAGCCTGCTGGTACCCAAGGAAGGTCCACAAAACAGCGGGGACACCTCCAGGGTTGAGGAGGGCCTGATGCCCTGGTGCCTCCCATGTTGCCATGATGACCCTCCATTCATCCCACAGCTATCCTGACAGGTCCCGTGTGTCCCCAGGCCCTGGCACACCCACCCTGCCCAGCTTTGCCCACTCATGAGACTACAGCCCTGTCACCGACAGCCCCCGGGACACACTGTCCAGAGCTAGGGCTGCAGAGCCGGGCAGGGCCCCGAAGCAGCTGCTGACGCAGGCAGCTCCTCCCAGCCTGCCTCCCCGCTCCCTCTGGGCTCGCTGCCCGCCCCGGGCACTGCCTGGCCCTTCGCCACCCTGAGGTCAGGTGCACACTCGGCTCCCTCTGTGGAGAGGGGTGGGAGCCGCGGTCCCACTCCTCTGGTGGCATGGCACAGCCCAGCTCTGGAGAAGGTCCCATGGTTGGGTTATGGGAACCTGATCCTCATGCTCTAGTCTAGAAAAGCCAGGAAACACAGACGAGGAAAAAGCACACGGCCGTGTGTATTTTATAAACACGTGTGGTTGTCGCATGAGCAGAGGGGACTTGTGTTACCTTCCGCTGTCGTAACTCACACACTCTTCCTGCACTTTTGCTGCTTTCAAAAGCTCTCAGAACATAAGGCGCCAGGGCTGATGAACAAAGCAGCGGGTGAACTTGACTGTGGACACCGCCTGGTGTCCCTGTTGGACCACACTCAGCAATTTAAACCTGCTTTCTCTGGTTTCTGCCTCCGTGAAGGTGGGAGGAAGTGTCGTGCAGGGGAGGTGGCCTTGCAGACAGGGATTCACCTGGCCCCATGGGGTGGAGCAGGCGACCCCACGACCCCTCGAGCGTGCTGCTGAGGCTGCACCCCGTGCCCTCCCCTCCATCCCGCATCCCAAGGAGAAGGGGTCAGTGCTTACCAAGCACACGGCACCCCTGCTCAGAGCCCTCCACCCTGCCCCGTGGAGCCCTGCATACAGAAGGAGTGGACAGGCCTGGGGCTGCAGGGAGGGCTATGGGATGGTTGTGCCTGGAGACCCAGAACTGCAGGCCAGTCCCCTTCCCCTGGAGCTGCCCCTGCAGCACGCCCCCCCCCCACCGAAGCCACGAACACCCACATACTGAACACCCTGGCTGGGATGAGGGCACAGACCCTGCCTGGGAAGCAGGGCTGCACTGAGTGGAAGGCCAGCGGCCCAGAAGAGGTCCGCTGCAGGGGCAGGAGTTTGAGGGAAAGAACCCAGGATGTGAGAGACCAGACGTGAGCCCTGAGGTCCCCCTCCAAATCCCAGGGCATCCTCCTGAGGCCAGCTGCCTTCCAACCCTTGGTGGCCCCTCATTTTCACTTGATCTAGGGCAAGGATGTTCCCCCAACCAAGCACCCTAAGTCATACCCTCCAGCCTGAGGGACGTGGCGTGGGGGCTGGCAGGATGGGTGAGAAGACATGAGACTCGAGGCTGGGCTCTGGGGATGGGCCCAGGGGTCCTGCAGGGGCCCCCAAACTGGAGTCAGACAGATTAGAGGGTCTCTGAGCTCCTGCTTCCAATCTGTGAAGCAGGGACACCAATGAAATGTTGCTATGGGACTCAGTGAGGCCACAGGGGCAAATTTTCCCATGGGTTTCATCAAAGGCACATGGTGACTTGGTATGACAGGGAGGGATGTCATGGCAGAGAGGGAGGGAACAGTGACCCAAGGAGCAAACAAGGACCAGAGGCACAAGAGTGCAGAGAGCACCTGGAAAGCTGACACTAGGAGGATACAAGGGGGCAGTGGCGGAGCAATTGCCCAGGGTCCAAGAGACCAGGAGAGTAGGGAGCCCTGGGGACTTCCAAGCAGGGGACCATCACCCAGCTATTTGGTATCAGCCTGTCTGAGGGGACGTCAAGAGGACAGGGTAGGGACTGAGGACAATGCAAGTAAACTCCTCCACTCACTGAGGAAGAAACGGGTAACTGAGCAAACCTACATCCAGTAAAAACATTGAAGCCAAAAAACCTTCCCATGAAAACGCTAGGCCCAGACAGCTTCACTGGTGAATTCAAACTAACATCTAACTAGTATCTAATTCAAACTAATATCTAAGGCAGAAAGAATACCCGCTCTACCAAACTCTTCCGGAAGACTGAAGAAGTGAAAGGGCTCCCCAACTCATCCTAGGTCTCAGCTTTGCCCTGATACCCAATTCTGAAAAGGAAATTATGAGAATAGAAAACTATTGCCCAGCATTCCTCACAATCAGATGCAAAATACTTAATAAAATTTTAGCAAATCAAAACCAACAATACATAAAAAGGATAATACCTAATGGCCAAGTAAAGTTCATCCCAGAAAGGTAAGATTCACTTAACATCTGAAAATCAATCAATGTAACTTATCACATTAATAGACTAAAAAAAAAATAAATACTATATGATCATCCCAAAAGATACAGAAGAAGCATTTGAGAAAATCCATCTTTTCTTGGTAAAAACTCTCAGCAAGCTGGGGATAAAAGAGAACTTACTGGACCTGATAAAGGGCGCCTATGAAAATCCTGCAGCCAACAACAGACACTAAATGCTTTCCCTCTGAGATCAGGAATACGGCAAAAATATCCTGTGTCAAATCTATTCAACATTGTACTAGAGGTCCTTGCCACGGCAAAAATGCAAGAAAGAGAAGTAAACAACATCCGACTGAAAAGGAAATGTAAAATTGGCTTTTTTTCCACATCATCATCTACAGGAAACGTGATGAATCTTCATAAAAACTATAATGAATAAAGCGAGTTTGGTAAAGTTGTAGGAAATAAGATCAATATATAAAACTCAATTGCACCTCCCATATTAGCAATGAACAATTGGAAACTGAAACCATAAAACAATATAATATCATCAAAAATATAAAATACTTAGGGATAAATCTGATCTGACAAAAGATGTGCAAGACTTTTACAATAAAAACTATGAAAGTTTGCTGAGAGAATTAAGAGCCTAAGTAAATGGAGAGATATACTATGTTCATGAACTGGAAGACTTGATCTTATTAAGGGGTTAATTCTTCCCAAGTTGATCTACAGATTCAACAAAATTCCAGTCAAAATCCTAGCAGGCATTGTTTTTTGTTTTTGTTTCATATAAAATTGACAACTGGTCCTAAAATCCATAGAGGACCCGGAATAACCAAAACAACTTTGAAAAAGAAGGAAGTTGTAGATTTACACTACCTGACGTTAAGCTACATTTTAGGGGCACCTGGTTGGCTCAGTCGGTTAAGGGTCCGGCTTCAGCACAGGTCACGACCTCGCGGTCCATGAGTTTGAGCCCTGCATTGGGCTCTGTGCTGACAGCTCCGAGCTTGGACCCTGCTTCAGATTCTGTGTCTCCCTCTCTCTCTGCCCCTCCCCCACTCACGCTCTGTCTCTCTCCCTCTCTCTCTTTTTCAAGATAAAACATTAAACAACAACAAAAAATTTTTTTGAAGGCCAGCTGCCCATACGTCACAGTGTGATATTGGTATTAATATAGACAGACCAATGAAACAGACTAGTGAGTCCAGAAACAAACCCACACATATACACTTGACTGATTTTTGATGAAGGTGCAAAGGCAATTCAGTAGGGAAGGGATGGTCTTTTTCAACAAATGGTGCTGGAGTAATTGGTTTTCCTTACACAAAACACAGTAAAATTTTGATCCATACCTCACACCATATACTAAGTTAATCCTAAATTGATCATAGACCTAAATATAAAAACCAAAAATATAAAACTTCTAGAACAGAAGAAAAACCTCTGTGACTTTGGGTTATAAAAATAATCCTTAGATCTGATACCAAAGCTCCAATCCAGGGAAGAAAGAAAGTTGATAAATAGGACTTCACTGAAATAAGAACTTCTACTCTTCAAAAGATACTCAGAATGAGAAGATAAGCCACAGGCTGGGAGAAAATATTTGCAAACTATATTTCTGATAAAGGGCTCCTGAGTGAATGAAGAACTCTCAAAACTCAGTAAGGAAACCACCCAGTTGAAAGAAACAGCAAAAGATTTGAATACAGTAGAGGCTTCCCCCAGTTAGATAGGCTGATGGCACTCGAGTGCGTAAGATGCTGAACGTCAGCAGCCCTTAAGGAAATGCAGGTTGAAACCACCATCACGATACCACTTCAGGCCATCAGAACAGCTCAAGTTACAAAGCCTGACCACACCACGGTTTGGGGATGTGTGGAGGAGCTGCACCCTCACTCAGCACGGCCTACTCTATGCCGGTTACCTTTCACTAAAGCTGGTGAAACCGGTTAGAAATACCAGACTGGGCGTCCGCACTGTGCTCACGTGTTACTGCCTCTAATGCTGTGCCTTCCTCTTGGACCAACATTACTGCTCCCCTTGTCTGACTAACCTCGCTGGGCTCTGCCATGCCTGCCCTCCCCTTCTGCTTCCCCCCGCGTCCCCTCTGTCCTTCTGGCACCTTGGCCTTTGTTGGACCTGCTGCCTGGGACACATCTCCTCCCTCCCCACCTTCCATCCAAGTCTCAGAGGATGTCACCACCCCAGGAGGCCCACCCTGATTGCTCTGACTGCTGGAGCTGCCCCAGAGCCCACCCATCACTCTCCACCTTATGCATGGATTTTATCTTCTTCCTGGCACTGGCCGATGGACAGTGGACAGTGTGGGGAGGGCGAGGAAAAGAGGAGAATGGATGGGACCCAGGGGCGCAGCTGACGGTGGTGAAGGCGGCGGGGGCGGCAGGGTGGGAGAACGTGAGATGTCTGGGGTGCAGGGAGGCAGCCAGGCTGCAGGGAGAAGCTGTCTGGAATGAGAGGACCTTTGCGGGCATGCTGGGTCAGCAGGGGGTGGAGGCCAGGACGGAGCTGTCCCGGGTGCTGATGCAGCGGTCACCATGCAGTCACTGCCTGGAGCACAGCCAGGCTGGATGCGCTCTCTCCAGCTCCACACCCTGCTGTGAGTTTGTAAGACAGACTGTGCCGGCAGTGAGGCCCCGCAACGAGAAGGGCATGCCCCTCCCAGGACCCCGAGGACCCAAGTGCCTCCTGTGTGCAGGCACTCCACCGCCCTCCAGGGGTTCTAGCCGCTTGGGCCTTAGTCGCTGTGCATGCTGCAGGTTGCATGGCGGTGCCGGTGAGGGGCTCAGGGGACTCAGGGAGAACCCAGCCCTGACCTGCCCTCTGACCTCATGCCAGTGCTCAGCTCCTGTCCCACCCCGTGTCAGCAGAGCAGCCCCGTCGTGTAACAATTGACTTGATGACAGTCATTACGCCTAATCTGTTTTTTGAGAGTCTAATTAATTCCAAGTCCTTCTCTATTTTTAAACCACTCAATCATTCCTGTTTTTCCTTCCAGGGACAGGACGTGGTGGGAGGCCTCCATGTTCTTTGCACAGTGGTGGGGACACCGGCCGCAGGGACGGATGGCAGTAGCAGCAAGGCCTGCACCCAGTGTCCAGCCCTAGAATGGCTCTGGCAGAACCAGCAGTGATGTGTGTGTCCCGATGGGGACGAAACAAGGCCTCATGGGGCAGGACCTACTGCCCAGGGTCCCACAGCTGCCAGAGAGAGGTTAGGGTCAGGCCCAGGCTCACCCTGCCACCCCGTTCCAGAGCTGGTGTTCTGCTGAGCCCCGCAGAGAGCCCAGCAATGGAGCGGGTGGGGCCCAGCCAGGAAACATCTCCTCCAAGTCTCCGCTCACTGAGAGGCCAGTCAGCCCAGGCAGTGCACAGTCCTTACTGCCCCCATGTCTTGACTGGCATCCCCTTACCTTTGAAGGTGCTGGCTCAGGACTGGTTCCCGAGAGCACCCCCAACCACCCCGACTACCTGCACCAGAATCCGAGGCTGTTGATATTACACGGGAAAGGGAAGCACGCCCTTCCAAGTCATGGAGGCCGGAAGATAGCAGTAGACCTTGGACACTGATGAGGCCCCACCCAGGGCAAGGGGCTGACGCCAGGCCTGGAACGGCCGACCTGACTCCGTCTGCTGGAGTGAAAACTGATTCGGTGATGTGTGCACAAAGCACATCAGAAGAGCCAGTCCCACACCTCTGGGGAAGGTTTCCACATGATGGAGGACTCACCACTCACCACATACTCTGGGGGAGGTTTACCCTGTGCAGCCCCTGGGCTGGGCACTGGGGCAGGACCGAGGTCTGCAGGCATCTCAAACAGTTCCCACTGTATGGGGAAGAGGGTCAGTGGGGCCCTCGGGAGAAGCTGGAGCCAGCCTTCTCTCTGCAGCCACAGGCATCCCCAGGGCCCTGATGCCTCTGAGCCTGCGTCCCAACCATGGCAAAGGGCAGAGGAGCTCAGGTGGAACCACGACAGGGCCACAGCACAGAGGAAGGCAAGGCATTCACTGGAAAAGGAGCCAGGCAGGCAAGACTCAGGTTCAGTGAGGAGGTGATGCTGGAGGCCGGCCTCCTCCAGAGTCTGTCAGCACGGGACAGAGTCCCACCGCAGTGCCCGAGATAACCCTGCCCGGTGGTCACACCACCAGTGAAGAGTGGGAATCAGACCCAGAAACAGTGAAATCCAGTGACGTGATGGGGAGGTAAAGTCAAGACTGGAAATAGGAACAGTCAGTAACAATCCTGAACCAACGCGGTGAGTAACAGTGGGTGAGTCACAGCGTCAGATAACAACAGCGAGTAACGAAGACACGTAACAATGACAAGTAAGACGTGGACTCACATGAAGGAACAACGTTCCGTGGCCTCTCAGCTCCTCCTCCAGATGCCATCTGAGCTGGAGACTATTGTTAGCCCATTTTGCAGATGACAAAACCAAGGCTTGAGGAGGTCAAGGTCAAGCATCCAGCCCACAGGTCCCCCCCACCCCCGGACCCACTCACCCACGGAATTTGCAGGTGCAGGGGAACACATCCTCCAATACTGCCACCCAAACAGGGGAGGAGGTGCCACAGGCGAGATGTGCCAGCAGCTCCCCTCTGCAAGAAGGAGCACATGGTCCGAGCACATGTCACCTGTTTAGAGCAGGAGCTCAGAAGCCCGTGCAAAGGACAGCCTTCCAGATTCTTATCTTTCTACCCAAAATGACAGCCAGGGAGGCCCACTAAGTGCATGATGGAGAGGCGGGGGGCACCACCAGCCAGACTCAAATGTGGCCAAAGAACTGAATGACGCAGAGCGACCCTGCAGGGCGGGGCCGGTGACGATGGTTGCTGAGGTCCCCCTGAGCCAGAGACTGGAGTAGCCCTGCCTGTGTGTCAGGATGGCCCCGGGCCCTGACAGTCACGCTCCCTCTGATGGTTAGAGACGGTCTCAGAAGACAGAACAACACGACTTCTAAGACTGGGGTGCAGAGTTGATGGTGAAAGAGGGGATGGCCACAGGACACTAGCAGGAGACGAGGACAGTGCTCCCTGACCTTGCAGGTGAGGGAGATAGCAGGTGCACACTCGGCCAGAGGACAAACTAACAACAAACGTGAGAACCAAAAGTTGTCTCTAGAATTTTTATAAATTTAATTACGCAAAACAAAATGGACGTCATCAACAAATAAAGTCAAAGGGCGAGTAGCACGTTGGGTAAATCTATCCACAGCAGACACACCAGAAGGGATGTTTTCAAGTCAGTAAAAAAAGACACAAAAACCCAATTGGAAAATAAGCAAGACACGTGAACGGCCACTTTGTGCACAGACAGAGGAACCACGAAACAGGTAGAAGTACGCGGGGTACCGACCACCAGAGAAAAGCCACCTCCAACAGCACAGAGGGTCCCGCTTCTGCTCCTCAAGGTGGGAAAACTGGGCCTGCGGCTGTGTGGGCGGGGGCAGCCCCCCACCCAGGCAGTACATGGCTGGCTTCTGGGAGGTGAGCTGACGTAAGTGATGGTAAGGCCTTTATACCTTTGCTGTGCTGACTCTACTAACAATCGATTCTCAAGAAATAATCCAACTGGGGTGCCTGGGGGGCTCAGTCGGTTAAGCCTCTGACTCCTGATTTTGGCTCAGGTCATGATCTCACGGTTTGTGAGTTTGAGCCCTGCGTCAGGCTCTGTGCTGACAGTGTGGAGCCCACTTGGGATTCTCTCTCTCCCTCTCTCTCTCTCTCAAAATAAATAAACATTAAAAAAACAATCCAAGAGGCAGATGTAGAGCTGTAAGGGAGCATGACCACAAAGCTAATTTAACATAGAAAAAATATATGGAAGTGGGAAAACATAGAATAAATTAGGTATGTTCTTAGGATACAGTAAAGTTCAACAGAAATAGTGTTTTTCAAGAGCTTTACAGAGCAATGATCACAAGATAAGATTTAGTGAGAAAAATAAAACTGCCCATGGGATTTGGGATGATTTTTATTTCCTTCTGTTTCCAAAGTTTCTACAATGAACGGGGCCATGTTTATAATAAGAAAAAAGAGAGCCCGTGTTATTTTTTAAACAAGGCAGCAGGATGGACACACTCTAGTCTAATGTCCACAGAAAGGACAAAAACAGACTTGAAGCAGGATGAGCTTCCATGTTGTAGACAAGTGACTTATTCAGGCTTCCACAGCATGGAAGGTTCTGGAACAGTGAGGTGAGTCTAGACAGGGAACAAGCTTTTAAAAAATGTTAACTTTTCCTTTAAAAAGCTCCTAACTTTTCCTGAAAAGGTAGGAGAGAAGAAGCCAGGAAAAAGAGAAAAGCTGAAGGACCCATGATTCTGGAACATTCTGCCCAGGATTCTGCTGAGGGCCATGTCCCACCATCCTGGCAACAGTGCTGGTGGAACGGGCCATGGTGCGGCAGGCTGAATGTAGGGCCTGGGGGGCTGCCGCGGGGGCTTCTCCAGCTGAGACCCCAGTGCCCTGCCTTCCACCTGTCTTCTGCTTAAGCAGGAAAATCCGCTCCAGGTGTCCTCGGGGCAGGCGGACCCTCCGTCACAACTCCGTGCGCCTGGGCCAACCCTGTGTGGCTTGAAGAGGTGTGAGGCTGCACCTGTGTGACTCCCCCTCAGGACTGGGAGCTCATGAGCACAGTGCCACGCCTGCCGCTCACTCCTCCAGCCACCGGTCACCTGCAGGTCAGGACAGGCAGGAGGCTGCAGGCCACCCACATCTTCCAGGCACTCGGAGCTGAGGCAAACTCCAGCCTGTCCATCTGCAGAATGGGAGGGGTAGTCACCTGCCCCTGCATGCAAGGCCCACAGTCTCCATCGTGAAGCCTCATGAATTTTGGTGAACTTCCTGCCTGTGTGAGGCTGGTCCTTTGTGTCTGTTCATTTTAATTGTACCCTGCTCTGTCACCTCTGTATTAGTGTTCGAGCACGCCCATGAGGTCAGCTTGTGACATGAGCGAAAGGCGCTCCTGATGTGTGCACTGCGGGTGGATTCCCGCTACAGG